CTTTTGTAATAATAAAAAAAAATTAGAAAAAAATTTCATTTCAACAAGTCTTAAAAATGCACATGTGAAGCATTTTCCTTTTTTACAAACATTACGAAAATTCTGAAATGATCATTTAATTCAGGTAAAGACATTTAAAATCAGGGTGCCTTTGAGTACTAATTAAAGGAAATGGAAATTATTAAATAAATAAAGTATAACATAAAGTAAAACTATTAAATAAATAAAAATAAATAGAATTCCAGTGAGCAGGCCTCTTTACTCCAAGCCACTTGATCCAGAAACTCAGGGGGTTGGGCCTATGTAGGCAACATTTTTTAAAAGATCCCTATGTGAGTTTAATGTAAACCAAATGAGTCAGTGGTTTAGGGAGTTAGTCCATGACCCACAGATGAAAACAGCACACTATTCCCTGTAAAAAGGAGGCACAGAGTACCCAAAAGTGTTCATCTTCAACTAGCAGGTGGCAGAAGACTTGCTACAAGTGCCATGGGGCTAAAAGGTTATAGATGAGTGGAAATTAACCGGGTAGAATCAGGGTGGGGAGCAAAATATGCCAAGGAGGACAAAGGATTATACAAAATCTAAGTGACCAGAGCAGGCTATGCATGGCCCTGGGGATACAGGTGGTGCTGAATAGAGTACATAAAACAAAGTGATGAGTGATGAGCTAAAGTCAGAGCTGTTTCCTAGAGGATCCAGTAAATCAGGTTACAAATTTGAAATAGTCACCAATCAATCAAATATTAGCAAAAATTGAGTTTAAATTCTCTAACAGTGCTAACACATTATAATAACAACAACATTACCATATATATGAAAAAACACTGCATATATGAAAGGCAAGATATTTATTCTACAGGCCATGTTTGTTATATGTATGAATTTGAGATCTCCTGGCAATAGCTCTATGATCCAACAGCAAGAAACATCAGGATGGGTGCCTTCCGTGGATTTAAATAACTCAGATTTCTACCATTTCATCATAAATTGATGATGGCATTGAAGTGCTGTGATCAAAAACTAGAAAGTAAAATGCCACATTTTAATTCTTTTTCTCCTGGAATATTCTAACAGACTATATCCAGATATTATTTCATATTCTCCTTTTAACCAAACACCTGCTATGGATAGGATATATGCTTAGTGATGTGAGGAACAGAAACATACCAGCCCTGCCTTCAAGGTGTTCACCATCTAGTATGAGAAACAAGACATTTGAATATATTGCCCATCCTGGAGGTACATGGACAGAAAAGGGAAGACATGAAAGAACTAAAGTGCTAGAGAAATGAAAGAAACAGAAATACTCAGTGGTTAGAAACTAGATTGGGCTATGTTAGATTGTTAGATGGGGGTGGTTTTTTTTTTTTTTTTTTTTTAAGCCATGAGATTCAGTTCAGAGACATTATTCTGGCAGAAGTGATTAATGGTTTCAGCCTTCAAAAACTTGGATTTTCATGGGGAAAAAATAATGAAAGAGTTTTCAGGCAAAAGAAAAAGACAAAACGCTCTACTGATAAGTGGAGTTCAAGGCTGCCAGTGCACAGAGTGCAGACTGACTCGCTGGTGATACACCCTGAGCCCAGGCTGCCAGATCTATTAGGCTGAGGTGTCTATACTTAGGGGTAGAAAAGAGACCTGGGTTTGAGTTTCAGCTGCACCTTATACTTGTTGTAAAGTATTAGAGAAGCTAAGTTTCCCTAGCCTTTTCTGAAAATTGAACATAGAGTAACAGTGCTAGTTTCAGTGTTGCCCTGAGGATTAAAAGCAGTAACGCACAGTAGCACTTACAATACCTGCTTACAACAAAAAGTTCAGCAGCTACTGGGGCTGCATGGATTTGACTATGTTTCTCACCAAGTCTTCTCATTAGGCTTTCAGAATGAAAGATTCCTGGCCAAAAAAGAAAAGCAGAATCATCCCATTACCCAATAGATTAGAATGAAAACTGGTAACAGAATAAGGCACAATTCCAAGAGGAGACATTGGAGAACAGGGCTAGGTCTACAAGTATCATATAAGCGGTGGCACATATGTTTCTGCTGAATCAAGATCACTAGCCTCTTACCATATCTCACTGAAAGCATCTCTTTGTATGCTTCTGTACCTAGTAGATTGGCTTAGTAATAAATATGTGAAATCTTTGTTTGAAAAAAAAAAGAATTTTCTTATAAATGCAAGATGAAAATGGAAAGTTCTCCTGAACTATGATGGAATAGTTTAGGAAGAGATAGGTATAAAAGGCTTTAGGAGAGAAAGAAGAGTTGGGATGAGCATAAAGGTGGCCTGAACAGTAGTAACTAGGAAGTCAGGAAGGAAGTTTCCAAAGGAAAGAGCTAGAAAGGCTGTAAATGAGATGAATATAGGAAAGGAATTTGCAGGGAATGACAAGCAAGTCTCAGTTTTGCATGAAAAGCTCCCTCAACAGCCTCCATCTTCCTTAGGACCCCACATGGTCTTCATTTCTGTGGGCATTCATGGGAGTAAGATTCTCCCTGGAGTACTCCTGAGGTGGAATTAACAAGTAAGAAAAGACAGTACTGCCAAGAAGCACATTAAAAATAAAACTGGATTATCCAGATCTTCAGAGAAGGAAAAAACCTTATGTTACTCCCTGAAACTGGGATGGAAGCAGAAAAATAAAATGATCTTTAATTTCCTCCTATCCCTTATTGTGCCATTAGCCCTCTAGGTAGTAACCCAGCCCCTCTTCAACTTCTCCTCACTCTCACTTTTATGACAAATATGTGAAGAGTTCAAATGCAGTTATTTTACTAAAAAGCTGTTGCTGCAGCTTTAGGAATTGATAGTGGTTTCCAATTCTCCATTCTATCTATGGGAACAGAGAAACAAGCTAGCTTTTCAGAATTTTAAGAGACAAAGTTTTATTTGTTCAGAGTACATTGACTATAGGGAATAGTATTTCTCTTTAAATTTAGGTGAAAGTGAATTTAAATTTAGGTTAAAGGGGAATTTCCTTTCTTCCTATATTAGAGGTTCCTTATCTACCAGGCCCACAAACCACGAATTCAACCACAAAAATCAATGGCAGTTAAGAGTTTCAACAGTGCAAAACCCAGTATAATTAGACATTTGACACTGGCAGCAGAAAGTTTATAGCGCAACTCCATAAGGTTTTAATATACCATTAACTCTATCAAGACTGAACAGCTAATTAAAAGAAGCAGAAGACATTGCAGTGTAGTGGAAGAAGTTACGTAAGTTTAGAGCAGGAAAGAGTAATAGTAAAACCTAGCTTAGCAATTTATTCTTGACTCCCTGCACTATTCTAAATTAGATTGTTTCTTCATCTATAAAATGGCAACAACCTCATAGCAGTACTTTTCAAGATGAAGATTAGATGAGATGATACAGTCGATACAACCTGGTATTAGCTAGTATATAACAGAACTATTGTAATCATGGAAACCACACTTGAATTTCTTGTAAGCAACTAGGCACGATAGAGAGAAAATGAGCTAAAATTCTGGTTATGCAAGGATAATCTTGGGAAAACAGTTTACCTACTGGAGCCTCAATTACCATTTGATTAGAGATACCTAGCTAATAAGACTAGTGCAAAGTTTAATGAGTTAATCTATACAAAGTTTCCAGGATGAATACTGTTTATAATAAGTAGAAAAATCAACAGTATTTGTTGATTCTCTCAAATGAAAAACAAAAGGCTAAATGAACATGTAAAACAAAACTAATGGTGAAACCACCATTCCCATATTTTTCATTGATTTATTCTATAAATATCTCCTGTGCACATACTGTGTGGCAAGCACAGTTTTTGATACTGGGGATGAAGCATGCATCAAGACAAATAAGGTGTCTGCTTTCCTGAAACTTCCATTCTAATGGGGGAAGGCAGATAGAAAATAGCTCAAGAAGATAATTTCAGAAAGAGAATGTGTGCTATGATAAACGTTAAGCAAGATGGTATGCTTGCAAGTTGCTGGAGGGGAAGGTCATTTAGTTTGGGTGCTTTTCAGCCCAGGCCTGCCTGACTGGACTCCTCTGGCCAGAAGGGGGACCTCAACTTGCATGATGCTGGTGGTTACGGTGTATCGCGTGGAAAACGGGATCTCAGACTTTCACTTTTACCTGTCTGCATGTTAGTATATTTCTACATGTCCCCATCCTGGTATTAAACTCTGAGGACCAGTACAACTGGTAGGGATAAGGAGGATAAGGATTGACGGGGGTTGGGGGGCGGGGAGGGACGAGGCAGGAGGGTGTAGTCTCAGACGCTGCTCAGCTCAATTCCCAGACACATCCGAAGCAACAATTTCACAGCTCCCCTAGCTCGGAATCCCGACTACTGAAACTGGTAGTTTGAAAGACAGAAAAGGGAGAGTACAAGTGTGCCGAAAGTGACCGGATAATTGCATTACCGAAAAAGAGAGGAATACAGGGCTTAAAAACTCTATCTGGAGAATCTAAAACAATGTCCATCAGTGACTCCAAAGGCTGCAATTGCTTCCTAGAATGTTGAAAAGCTGGACGATAGGAAGCGGGAGAGCCCAGAGTCTGCAACGTCGCCCGGGTCCCCTCTGGCGCGCCCCATCCCGCGGATGTGGTAAAACCTCAAGCTCGGCCCAATTAAACAGGTTTCCTGTGCCTGCGCCCCGGCGCCGCGCCTCCCCGCTGCCCAGGACAGCGCCGCGGCGCCGCATCCTCTGGAGCTTGAACCCAGGCCCCGCGCTCGGCGCCTTCTCGCCGCCAACCCCGGCCGAACCGTCCCTCTGGGGACCGAGCCCCAAGGTAGGCAGCACCTGGGCTCTACCTCCCGGGAGACTGGCACCAGCACCAAAGCCGATGTCGCCGGCGGGAGGCTGCCCTATCAGCTGCTCTGCCCCCAGCGACTGCGGGGGGACTCCGGTCCTGCCGAGACTGGTGGCGTCCCCGAAACCACTGTTCTTGGGAGCCCGCACAGCCGCCGAGCACCCACCACACCCCGGTACCATTCTGGCGGACGTCTGGGCGCTTACCTGTGCGCTCTGCCGCCGAGGACGCCGCCTAGTTCCCCGGTGCACGGCTCCCGGTTTTGCCCACAGACCCGTGAGGGGACCAGCCGGGCTTGTGTCCCCTCACGAAGCGCAGCTGACAGTTCCCGCACCAGCCACAGGAGATGGGGGCGGAGACGGCTACTTGAGGGCGGACGGCGGGGTCTCGGGCCGAGCAGCGCGCTGGCCGCCCAGCGGTAGGTCTCTTTGCCCGGCCGGGCACGTCTGCGCTGCAGTCGCGCGGCCAGTTCCCAGTACTTTGCCCAGAACTTCTCCGCGCGCGCCGCCGGGCGACAAGCGGCGGGAGGGGAGCGGGAGGCGGGAGCGAGAAGGCGGAGCCTGCGCCCGCCCTGGGGCGAGGCCACGCGGGGAGGGTGGGAGGGGCGGCAGAGTGACCCACACTCCCACCAATCAGGAGTCGGCCTCGTGAAGGAGGTGGGGCGAGATCCGAGGAAGGAGCAGGCCGATTCCGTGACGCAGTCTAGGGAGTTGGGACCCCCAGCTCCCGACAGGTGGGAACAGCCCCGGGAGGTGAAAGCGGTGGCGTGCGGCGGGAAAGGGTCCCGGGGGCCCACGAGTTACCTGAACGCCGTGGGCGCTCAATAAATGTTCCTCGAATGGCATTTCCGGGCAAAAGGAGGGAGAAGAGAAAGTGGTGAGGAAAATGTTGGTTTGAGGAGAAGGCTCCAGGAGATAACTCTGGTCAAAGAACTGAAGAAGACTCGACTAGGGAAAGTCAGACAATGGCCAAAGGATTAAGAACGGAACAAATACATGAAGGGAGAATCGCGGGCACTAGGTGATGAAAGGCAAATTGGCATAGGACCAGCCCTAGACTTGACATCCAGAGACAATCATAAAGATTAGGGGTCCTCTAGTCTTTGTGTAGTTCGTGTGTAAGAGGAAGGGGGTAAAGCGTCATCATTAAATTAAAATGCTTGAGCTCCTTGTTCCACCCTACTAGACTTCCCAGTTGCTTCTCCGGCCTCCTTTGATCCTATATTGAATGCAAGCAGTTGATCACTTGGGTGGGTTTGGGGACTGCAAAAGTGCCCAGTGTCCCAAGTGGTGAGATGAAAAGGGAAGTAACATTTACTGTGCTCCAACTGTGTGCCAGGAACAGTTGTTGGCATTCAGCTATGATAAAGTTACGCTAGGTTCCTGCTCTCGTGGAGCATATACACTTTAGTAGTGGAGAGAGCAACATATACAAATATAAACAAACGAGAAAATGCTGATGAACTATAAGCATGCAGGTAGGAACTAAGTACAGTTTTCAAAAATGATACCTGTGATAAGGAGCTGTAAAACAGCAGGAGGGCCCCTTGGCTGCGGTGGCTTTTACACATTCCTGAAACAGGGGAATAGATACTGCACCCCAGTCTTGGAAGAGCGCTCCAGGGAAAGAGAAGGGCAAATGCAAAGGCTGTCACCTCTGAATACCCCTCGAACTCACCTCACTAAATTGTACAGAGTGTGGCTCGCCAACCTAGGAGTCTGGCACAAAGCAGAGGCTCCAGAATATTAAATCCCCGTGCCGCCCGCCACCTGCGGCACTCTGAGCTTTTGCAGACTCTCAGCTGAGCCAAAATGAGCATTTCGGGGACTCGTCTGAGCCATGCGATTCACATATGGTGTGCCTGGTTCTCCGCTTTCTGGAACCAACCCCATCACGGAATACACAGATCTGGGTGGCGGAGAAGGAGAGGAGGACCCTGTTTTGCTGCAGAATCAACACACTATCATGCCGTCTGTATAACATCCCGGGAAGCTTACTGGAAATTTTTAAAAATCAAATTAATGGGAGGTTCTTAAATCATCCTCCCGAGCCCGAAGATCGTTGCGTGGGTGTACACGAACGTCGGGTAAGCGAGCGGACCTTTCACTACTTCAAGACTACGCTTTGCCCACGCCCAGCCAGGATTGCCGGCTCCAGCAGCGGGGACTGCTTTCCGCATGCACCCTGCAGTTCTCTTAGAAAGAAGCTTGCTCTTTGCTCCACCTCCTCTTTCAAGCTCTTTTATGAGTTACTCTTCCTCTCCCCATCCCCCCACATTCATCCTGTTCTATTAGCATTATTTTTTCTGCGGAGACAAACCTTGTATCTGAAAGTTATTTGCATAAAGCTTTTATGTATTGAAACTAGCATTAGTGGCTTTGTCATTAATTTCTTCCAAGTAGTCTAGTGTGAATATACCAGTACATTATTTCTAGTCTTACTTGATTCAGTTAATTGGAAAGATAAGATTAGCCCTACTCTTATTATAGTGCCTTGCTTCCTAGAAGAAGAATCATTCTGTGTCTTCTCATAGTTTCACTTCCTCTTCTTCTAAATAAGCTTCCAGGCTCACCAGCTCCTAAAAACACAAGGGAAAAAATTAAATTGAACCCACGCAGAGCTAATTTTTCTTGGAAAAGCTTGTTAATGTTCTAAAATTAGCTTTCTTCTTAGCTATTTTAAAGCAAGAATCTGAATGTCTGCTAAGAAAAGAATGATTCTATAGTAAAAATTTCTATAGACCTTCTTCGAACCTTTGAACAAATACTTTTTATGGTTGAAGACACACCCATCAGGTGGGTATTTTTAGTTGGCTAAAAGTTCTTAGCATCTGAGATTCACAGCAGGTAAGCAGTTGTTACGGCTTACACTGTTATGTTACACTGCTGTTATATTACACTGGAGTGAAATGTGCTCACAGGAAAGGAAGCTGATGATGATGGAGCGTTTGGTGGAGATATACAGAAACCTCTAGAATCTGACTGCCTGGGTTCCTGTCTTGTGACATTTCTGACTCTAAGAACACCTTTCCTTGTGTGCAATATGGAGATTGTAATTGTATCCTACTGAGCTACAGGAAGAGTTTCATCATCAGTCTGAAAACAATTTTCACTTAGCCTCCTTCAGAGTTCCCATTCTCAGCATTATTGATATTTTGGGCCAGTTACTTCTTAGCTGTGAGTGTTTGTTGGGGGTTGGGGCTGTCCTATGTAATTAGCAGCATCTTCAGCATCTGTCCACTAAATTAAATGAATACCCCTCCTCAACATTGTGAGATGTCCCTGGAGGGCAAAACCATACCTGGCTGAGTACATTTGCCTAGCAAATAATAAGTGCCACAGGTTAGAGTACATGATGGGAAAGTACTTAAAAGATAATGGATTTCTAGAGTGTGAACCTCAAGCAAATTTTGTTGCCCTAAATCTCACTGCCAAATGGAATCGTAATAATGTAAGCTTCTCAAGAATGTCTGAGGAATAAAAAAATAAATGTATGCATGTAAAAGCAATTTGCACAGGGTGTGGCATATAATAAGCTATGTGCTTATGTACTTATTTTCTTCCTGTGAAGTAAGGTGCTGGGCTAGGCCAGGGATGACATGTAACCGCTTACTTACCACCACTGCTCTCCCTGACTCAAGCCAGAGACCACTGTTAAGTCTGTTTCTCCCACTGAGCCAAAATAGGGCCTCAGCACACACAACACTGTACTTTAAAAAGAGAATGCTGATACTACTGATAGAGTGGGGTCATCATCATATAGGATGATGCACAATAGCCATTCTGGGTACTATGACCTTAGTCATTTTAAGATGAAGGTTAGATTAGAGCTTCAGTTTTCTGATAGGGACTTCAAGAGAAATGTGATAAGGAGGAGCTATAACCTCATCAATCCATTTTCTGAGGCAAGGACTAGGAATTCTAGTCCTTGACTATAATCGTACAGCCTATGAGTGGTCTGAGGCCACTCTTCCACATACCCTTATACATAGTCCACTTTTTTTGCTATTTGTACCAGCTATGAGAGGAAGAAAAAACATTTATGCAACTCGCCCAATCCTGTACAGGCCTACTGTTTTTCTTTCTCCTTCACTGTTATCTGAAAAATGAATCAAAGTTTTTAATTGAGAAGAAGCACTTTGTTGTGAGCATTCTTTCAATGTGTTAGTGACCTCATGACTGAGGACTGCACAAGAATTCATCTATTCCTTTATTAAACATAGACCTACTGCCTCTTTGGATAAAAGATCATTCCTGGCAGGCACTTTTAAGAGATTCAAAGATAAATCAGTAAGTGTTCCTGCCCTCAGTGTTTTTACAGTTTCACATGTTGAGAAGATCAGATATGGGCATAAATAGCTACAATACAAGCTAGTGTTGGAAAATGTCCTAAGAGGGGTACCAAAATGTGTTCAGAGAAGGGAGAAATTGTTCTGGGAATTAGAAGCAAAGAGTCACTTCCTACAGGTCTTTGTTGACATTTTTAACATTTTGATCGAAAATCCTTATTTATGGCAATCAACTTGTAAAGGAAGTTGTGACTGTTTGGCTTCCTGGTTTAGACAAAATTACTATTGAGTGAATCCCATCAAATGCAACTGAAGTCAAAGTTGATTCTAATTCCAAATGAGTCATTTTCAACAGATGTCTAAATTTTCTGGGATGATCTAGAAGAAGATTGCCCACCTTTAGTGACAATAGCCTTGCTTTCTCTAAACCATTGGACAGAAACCATTTTTTAAGGACACTAATGTCACATACAGAATCAATATTTCCTTCAGGGGTAAACTTCTTCAGAATGAAATGATATATTTCATTGTGTTTTAGCTACTGTCTCCATAGCACATGGACAGCCTATGGCATTATTTGCTGTCAGTACTTAGCAACAGCCCACAAGTATTGGGCATTTATGTGCCAGGCACTGCTGAACTTAGCTAGCAGGATTATTGCCCACCAGGCTGCTTGTCAAATCAGACAGACATGGCAGAAGTGCTGAATCCATACTCTTGTAGCTGTGCTACAAGCCCATCTCAATCGTACTTTATCACCTCATGTCTAAATTGACAACTTCCCTGAGTGCATCTGATAGAAACATCCCAAATCACATCTGCAAATCTAACTGCAAGGTTGTAAGATTTTCAGCTTTCCAACCTCTGCAGAAAGGTACATTAGGGAGAGGTTGAGTTACAAGTTGAGTGAGCCAAGCCAAGAGTGAGCCGCCATTATCTTCACCTTCACATTTGTAACAAGTATGTTAACAGAGGTTTTATATGCTGTGTCCTCTATTGTATTTTAAGTTTTATAGAATAATGCAGAAAGCCTGTTCTTTGACTAATCCCCTCTGTTCCCTTATCAGACTTTACTAGCAACACCACTAGAATCCAAGCCACCAATATTTCTTTCCTGGAAAATGGCCACAGGAGTATGACTGTTACCCAGGACACTACTCTTGCTCTTGTGCACGCCATTCTTCACTCTGCAGCCAGAGTGATTTTTTTAAAACCAAATA